AGATAATATTATCTCCCTTGTTGTTGGGACCACTCAGGTATAATATTATCTCCCTTGTTTTTGGGACCACTCAGAGATAATATTATCTTCCTTGTTGTTGGGACCACTCAGAGATAATATTATCTCCCTTGTTTTTGGGACCACTCAGGGATAATATTATCTCCCTTGTTTTTGAGACCACTCAGAGATAATATTATCTACCTTGTTGTTGGGACCACTCAGATATAATATTATCTACCTTGTTGTTGGGACCACTCAGAGATAATATTATCTCCCTTGTTGTTGGGACCACTCAGAGATAATATTATCTCCCTTGTTGTTGGGACCACTCAGGGATAATATTATCTACCTTGTTTTTGGGACCAATCAGAGATAATATTCTCTCCCTTGTTGTTGGGACCACTCAGGGATAATATTATCTCCCTTGTTTTTGGGACCACTCAGGGATAATATTATGTACCTTGTTTTTGGGACCACTCAGAGATAATATTATCTCCCTTGTTGTTGGGACCACTCAGGGATAATATTATCTCCCTTGTTTTTGGGACCACTCAGGGATAATATTATGTACCTTGTTTTTGGGACCACTCAGAGATAATATTATCTCCCTTATTGTTGGGACCACTCAGGGATAATATTATCTCCCTTTGTTTTTGGGACCACTCAGAGATAATATTATCTCCCTTGTTTTTGGGACCACTCAGGGATAATATTATGTACCTTGTTTTTGGGACCACTCAGAGATAATATTATCTCCCTTATTATTGGGACCACTCAGGGATAATATTATCTCCCTTTGTTTTTGGGACCACTCAGAGATAATATTATCTCCCTTGTTTTTGGGACCACTCAGAGATAGTATTATCTACCTTGTTGTTGGGACCACTCAGGAATAATATTATCTCCCTTGTTGTTGGGACTAATAAGGGATAAAAATGGAGAGTGTTATCGCGTGCTGCACCATACAATACTTCAAGCAAACGTTGCAACTTATGTATTAGAGAGAAATATATTATAATTTTCCAACCACATTACTGTAGTTTAAATAAAAAGAAATGACTATTTTTCTTCCTGTAGACACAGAGCCAAATCGTTGCTATGCGACAACTAGTTTTAATATCGTAAACACACTCCATTGTTATGCAAATCTGTAGCGCTTATAACGTAGTCTGTTTCGGTGGTTTATTTAATAAAGTCTTAACTCCTGATGAGTGAGGTACTCCATGTACCTTACGAAACAGTACTGTAGAGTGAACTTTACTCATGTAGTCGTGTCTTAATTTCTCTGTCCACGTATGTATGTATATATATATATAGGTGGGACTCACTAGGGCATGCATGCATATGTGTAATACGTCTAAATCAAGCACCAAAAGAGCCGGGATATTATTTGGTTTAGAAAGGTGTTCAGTGGGGGTTGTTTATGTGTATAGTTATAAGGTAATACAAAACCATGTTCAGTATACTAGTGCACACACTTACACAGTACTCGATTGCATCATAGACCTTTCTAAGGTATATGATTGCATACAACATTTTGTATTTTTATTACAATACAGCAACCTCATAATATGGCGGTTTTCATGGCAACCGCTAATCTCACGGAGCCGGGAATAGTTTATTTGTTTTTGTATGTTGAAAGACGTGTTTGTTTATTTAACCACTTCAATGAATTCACACCTTCACTTCGCGGTTGAAAGTCATTGTATGATGCTGTATTAGTACTGTATTTACCCCCGTGACGGCAACTCAATATTACCCATTCTTGTATGCCATATATGTATTCAGTCTGTGCCAACTTAATTAAAGGTAGAACGCTCATTTTCTTTATTTTTGCATATTTGATTAATCCATGTTACAAGGATGAAGAAAATCAATTAAAATATAGGGTCAACTACTCAGTTCTGAGAAAATAGATCAATACAATAGATGAAAATGGCATGTTTTGTCTGTTTTAGGACATTTTATCATTGTATTCTATGGAAAAGATATATATTATCAACATTTTACTCAAGGCACATGATGAAAAAGATTGTCTAGAAGTATAAACAATTGACAATGATGTTAGTGGAGTTTTAACGAGATAAAGTGCTTTCATTGTGGTCCATGGAAACCGCTGGTAATGGCATACATATATTAATTATTGTTTTTTTCTCAAAAAACAGGTTGACAGTAAAATAAAAAGTTCATATGCTGTTGACTAATACAAAAACGATTAATTGTAAACGAGATATTGTCACTGCTGTATGCGCTAAAATATGCACAGATGCATGTAAATAATCACGAGTAGCATTCTAACTAAATTTAGTTTCATGTCTACTATTCTTGTTCATAACATCAAATAGTTCAAAGTTAAACCCAGAAATACCCAATTACTATTATTGTAGGATAATATTATCTACAATCGTATCTGACACTTGTTTTCACTCGTGACTTCTTATTGAACGTGCAAAAACTAAGACCGTGTACGGTGTATTTTGGAGAGAAACCTTATCCTTGTTTTGGGATTACATGACAGCGCTGCGGCTGTGTTGCCTAATCATGTCTGCCCAATATAATGATATATCTTGGTGCCAGGCAGACCCGACCGAACACAAGAACCTACGGACTTGAACCAATGTTCCCCCGAACCTGTTTCCTGATGACATCTTGGCCAGTGGCGTTTGGCCACTTCGTCCAGTATGCTTATCTCCTATTTTGTATTCAACATCAGGTAGGATTTGAACTTTTGGGATCTAATGATGATGTGACTGATACAGCAACCACTGTGCTATCGGTAGTGCAATATATATCCCTCCAAATTTGTGAGTTAAACCTTGATATTTTGCTAAGTTTTCTCTTGCCAATGAAGCTCACTATAAACAACTCCCGTCTATAAACCTCTCTGTAAGGGTGTATTTATAATAATAATCTGCTCGATATATCTGTCTCTTGACCATAAATGAAAAGTGCTTATATCGCTAAAAGTTAAATCAGTCGTTCACGTCACTGACAGTGGAACAACTATTCGACCAAACAGAATAACCATAGCTATGTCGAGGCCCAATCCGGATTTATTTCATTAATCTAATTACTGAAACGAACAGCCAGAATTTATGAAAACATAATGTTAATTCACTTTATTTGAGTTAGTATAAAATATTTACTACTGAAACAGAAAGAGTAACGTCCTTGAAACGATAAAGTTAAAGTTCATCACTTTAACACGTGGTCGTTCTTCAATACAAAAAATGCTACTTCGCAGAGATTTGAAGGACACCCATCTACGCCACGTCGTCGTAACAATCTCATTCGTCGCTAGAGGGTACATACCGGTATATATACTGTATTGGACCCACATACTGGTGTACTATACATCCTAGCAACATCATACTAGTCACACTGTCAAGGAGTTGTCAACGCCTTTAAAGCCCGCAACATTGTTCTCGTTTCGATCATGGCTTATACCTATATAGCGAACCAATGCCTGGCAACTACGTTAATTCGACGATAAATAATGTACAAGTGGTGATAATAACTTTCATTCCAGAATAACTGAAACGTCGTAGATCAGTGCATGTTAGTAACACTAACAACTATGTTACTGTATGTTTTGCTGTATGATTACATCCAGAACTTCATCCAACCATGGAAGGTACCTTCCATGATCCAACTTACAATTTGCAGTTCAGATTTTCTTTGTAGAAGTTCATAAATAATAGGACGGCTGACCTGACTATCGTTCTTCGCCGTGTTTGGGTATAAATACA